ATCTGTGGTGAGCTGGGATGGGACACAGGTGAATGGGGATGCACTGCTCATGACAGAAAAACGGCCAACAGGGGTATTGCTATGTATATAATTTTTAAAAAGATAAAATTTAGGTAAGCAGAAGTCTTGAGTTAACTTCCCCAATGGAAAGTCACAACACTTTCCCCAATTTCCAAACCTAAGCTAATTTTTGGACCTAGAACCAAGAAAGTGAGGGAGAGACCAGGTTCCTATAAGAAAGGATCCCTACTGGGTGGCACCTGTGGCTCAGTGAGTAGGGCACCGGCCCCATATACCGAGGGTGGTGGGTTCAAACCCGGCCCCAGCCGAACTGCAATCAAAAAATAGCTGGGCATTGTGGTGGGGGCCTGTAGTCCCAGCTACTCGGGAGGCTGAGGCAAGAGAATCGCTTAAGCTCAGGAGTTGGAGGTTGCTGTGAGCTATGGGACGCCACGACACTCTATCAAGGGCAACAAAGTGAAACTCTGCCTCAAAAAAACAAAACAAAGAAAAACAAGAAAGGATCCTACAGCAACGTGGCAAATACATCCAGTTGTGGTCCCCAGTTCTTCTATGTTTCAAGTCCCCCTAGTTCAACGTATCTATGACCATTTCTCAGATAGCATGAGAAAGAAAAACACACAGAGTTTTTTGAGATCTACTGGACCCAGAAAATAAGTAGACACTAGTATAGTGCAAAGTGTTATTATGGCCCCTTGTTAGAAAGGGGATTATTGGGGTCAGGTAATAATGAGCATAGAAGTAAATATGCAAACAGTTAGAGAATCCTTACCTCAGTTCCTTGATCTATGGCATAAGAGCTATTGTAATAAGAAAGGCTCCATGGAAGCCCCTGAAAGTCACCCCCTCAAAGAAAAACTCTTCCATTGGCAAAGATGATAAATAATAACAATACCACTTCTCTGGTGGAGGGATAGCAAAGTTTAGTGTTATCCTTAAAACTTTAAATAATTCAGAAATAATGGTCCTCATTATATCCCCATTTAATTAATCAGTCTAGCACCTGCCCAGTAATAGTCCTAATTACATCCACTGAGCAGGATGTGGTATCTTTATTAAAGCAGATTAACAAACCTCTGGCAGGTGTCATGTGGCTACTGATTAGGACAAATATATTCTTTTATTTTTAGCGGGGGGGGCAGGGGCTTTTGAACCCGCCACCTCCGGCATATGGGGCCAGTGCCCTACCCCTCTGAGCCACAGACGCTGCCCTAAATATGTTCTTTTCATACCCATCAGGAAGGAAAATCAGAACTGGTCCCATTCACGTGGAATGTACACAAGTACATATTCACAGTCTTATCTTGGGGCTATGTTATTTCTCCTACTCTTTCTCGTAATATAGCTCAAAGGGACCTAAATAATCTGGGTATTTCATAGAACATCATATTGGTCCACTATGTCAATGGTATCATGTTAACTGGACCTAATGAGCAGGAAGAAGTAACCCTGGATGCCCTAAAATGTGCACTCTGGAAAGTAGGAGATAAACCCCACAAAGATTCAGGGATGAGCCAACATAAGTGAAGTTTTTAGGACCCCAGTGGCCTAAGATCTGAAGAATTCTGGGACATTTACTGCACAGTGATTGAGAAATTTTTGCACCTTGAATTTCCCATCTCAAAGAAAGAGTCTAAAGTTGGGTCTCTTTGGGTCTGGAAGCAACATGTTCTCCATTTGGGAATGCTGTACTAACCCATTTATTGGATAACATGGAAGACTATTAATTTTGAGTGGGATCCAGAGCAAGAAAGGCCTTTCAAGTAAATCTATACTGCAATAAAAACAATTCCACTAGGCTGGGCACAGTGGCTCATGCCTATAATCCTAGCACTCTGGCAGGCCAAGGTGGGTAGATTGCTTGAGCTCACAAGTTCCAGACCAGCCTGAGAAAAAAAAAAAAAACAAGAAAAAGAAAGAAAGAAAGAAAAGAAAAATAATTCCACTTTTTGGGTCACATGCTCCACAATATTCCTTGATATGAGAGGTATTTGTGGTACAAAAAAAGTGGAGTTTCTAACAAGCTCAAATAGGAACAGTTGTAGTGCAAACCCTTAGGTTCTGGAACAAGGCCAAGCCATCTGAAGAAGAGAATTATATACCATGTGAAAAGCAGCTCCTATGCCCTGATAGAGATCGAGCACTTGTCCTTGGGGCATCAAATAGCCATGTTCCCAGAATTGCCCATCATGAGCTAGGTTCTGTCATACCCACCTAGTCATAAGGAAGGGAAAGCCCAGCGGCAAGCTAGAGTGTGATAAAGTGGTACATCCATCAAGATTGAGCTCAAGCAGCCTAAGAAAGAACAAAGAAACTGCAGAAACAGGTGGTCCACACCTTGATGTCACCCACTACTGTTGCTCAGTGCTTCTCTCTCAACTCATGTCTATGGGCAGATGGAAAAGGAAGTGTCCCAGCTGACATAAAAGGAAAGAGCTTCAATTTGGTTCATGGGTGGTTTGGCTTAGTATCTGGGTATAAGCTAAAAATGTGCGCCTGTTTTTCTGTACAGCCCCACTCAAAGGTGTTGGTGAAAGATAGTGGGCAGAGCTTTTGGTGATATCCTTTGTTACCCACTTTGTGTGAGTGAAGAAGTGGCCTCAAATTATAATGTATATTGATTCATGGGCAACAGTACATGCCTTGGTTGAATAGTCAGGAACTTGAAAGGGAAAGGTGGAAAGACTAGGGTCAAGAATGTCTGGCTGGGCTCAGTGCCTGTAGCACAGTGGTTATAGTGCCAGCCACATGCACCGAGGCTGGCAGGTTCAAGCCCGGCCTGGGCCAGCTAAAATCAATACTGACAACTGTAACAAAAAATAGCTGGGCACTGTGGTAGGTGCCTGTAGTCCTAGTTACTTGGGACGCTGAGGCAAGAGAATTGCTTAACCCCAAAAGTTGGAGGTTGCTGTGAGCTGTGACACCACAGCACTCTACCAAGGGCAACATAGTGAGACTATGCCTCAAAAAAAAAAAAAAAAAAAGGCTGGCTAGGCTCATTATCCATATCTCAGTGGTTAGGGCACCGGCCACATATACCAAGGCTGGCAGGTTCAGGCCCGGGCCAGCTAAATAACAATGACAACTGCAACAAGAAAATAGCCAGGAATTGTGGCAGACACCTGTAGTCCCAGCTACTTGCAAGGCTGAAACAAGAGGATTGCTTAACTCCAAGAGTTTGAGGTTGTTCAGAGTTATGATGCCATGGCACTCAATCTCAGGGCGACTGAGTGAGACTCTGTCTCAAAAAAAGAAGAAAAAAAATTAAAAAAGGATGTCTGGGGAAAAGTCATGTGGGTAGAACTATGGGAATGGGTACAAAGTGTAAAGGGTTCATCTTTTCATTTTAACAACTCCCAAAAAGCAACCACTGAAGAAGCATCAAATGACCAAGATGACAGTATGATCGGGCCAGTTGATATCAGTCTGTCCTCTGCCACCCCAGTGCTTGCACAGTAAATTAGCCACAGTAGCAGAGATGGAGGCTATGCATGGCATGGGCCCAACAGGATGGGCTAATCTAGAGATTGCCATGGCTGAAATTCTAATCTTCCAGCAACAGAGAACAATGCCAAATCCTCAATGTGACACCATCCCTTTGGGATACAAACCAGTCATGTGTTGTCAAAATGATTACATTTGACCCCTCCCCTCTGGAAAAATTAGTAGTTCATTCTGACAGATATTGACATGCATGCCACATGAATATTTTTACTGTTCTTCCACAAGACCTCAGTCAGGACCACTTTCTGAGGGTTCCTAAAGAATCTGGACTACCAACATAGGAGCTCTCATAATGTCACCTCAGATCAAGGAGCACACTTTATGAAAAATATGATGCAGCAGTGGGCATGTGACAATGGAACACACTCATCAGCCCCACCACATTTTGCAACATTCAGAAGCTGCTGGTATAATTGAGTGATAAAAAGGCACTTCAAAAGCACAGCTGAAACACTAGCTTAGAGACCACTCCTGTGAGGACAGGGCAGTACCCTTTAGGATGCAGTATATACAGACAGTTTCCAACTTATAATAGCTTGACTTAGGATTTTTCAACTTTACAGTAATGTGAAAGTGAGACCTATTCAGTAAAAATGTACTTTGAATTTCGTATTTGATCTTTTCCCAGCCTAGCACTACACAGTAGGATACTTCCTCATGATGCTGGGCAGCAACAGTGAGCCACACCTCCCAGGCAGCCATGGGATCTAGAGAGTAAACAGCTGACACTTACTTGAGCTAGTCAACATTTCATTATAAAACAGGCTTTGTGAGGCTGGGTGCGGTGGTGGCTCATGCCTGTAATCCTAGCACTCCAGGAGGCCAAGGCGGGTGGATTGCCTGAGCTCACGGGTTCAAAACCAGCCCAAGCAAGAGAGACTCCCCCCACCACCCCCCACCCCATCTCTTAAAAAAAAAAATAGCCTATTCAGGAGGCTAGGACAAGCGAATCACTTCAGCCCAAGAGTTTGAAGTTGCTGGAAGCTATGACACCACAGCATTCTACCAAGGGTGACAAAGTGAGGCTCTGCCTCAAACAAACGAAAGGCTTTGGGCAACACCTGTGGCTCAGTGGGTAGGGTGCCAGCCCTATACACTGAGGGTGGCGGGTTCAAACCCGGGTCCTGCCAAACTGCAGCAACAACAAAAAAATAGCCGGGCATTGTGGCAGGCGACTGTAGTCCCAGCTGTTCAGGAGGCTGAGGCAAGAGAATCGCCAAAGCCCAGGAGTTGGAGGTTGCTGTGAGCTGTGACGCCACAGCACTCTACCAAGGGCGATAAAGTGAGACTCTGTCTCTTAAAGAAAAACAGCCTTTGTGTCAAATGATTTTGTTGAACTGTAGTCTAATGTAAGTGTCCTGACCATGTTAAAGTAGGCTAGGCTAAGCTATGATGTTCAGTAGAATAGGTTTATTAAATGTATCTTTTCCTGTCGCTCCGCCAGCTGAAATAAAGTTCTTCCTCTTTTATTTTTTATTTTATTTTATTTTTGCTTTTTAAAAAATACAACAAAATGTTTAATGAGCAAATTCATCTTAGCAAATATTAAACTGCCACAGAGAGGAGGACAGGGACAGGGGTCATGGGGCTGGGCACAGGTCAGGGAGACTTAAGAGGAGATTGTCAACTATGTAAGAAACCAGGGTGTCAGAGAGGACAAGAGGCTGGAGGAATGGAGCTGTGGTCCTGGTAAAGAGGGCTGGGCGCTAAGGATCAAACAAAATTCAAAATAGTTTGGCCATAACATATAAACATACTTCTACCATGGGGAAGAGGAGGGGGGGGCAAGGGAGGAGAGGCTGTTTTGGGAGGGGCCATGGGAGTCCTACCCACACTGCTGTGCACCCCATCCCAACCCCTTCCCTCTATCTGTGTGGGTGTGTGTGTCTGAGAGGGCCTGTGTGCACACTTCCCAGTCCCCTCCCTGCTCTAACCTCCGACCCCCCCCACCTCCCCACCCTTAATTGCTGCCATTCCAGTTACTGCTGGCTGTCATTCAACTGTCACTCCTCTGCCCATCATCTTCAGAGGGGAAAAAGGGGTTGGGAGGAGGAAGAAGACCCTATCTAGCCCTGCCCCCACCCTCCCTTGCCCACCTCTACCAGAAATCCCGGCGGTGGTAAGAGTCGGGGTCACAATACTTTGTGACAACCACTCTGTTGGCAAACTTGCGGCCTGTCAGGCCCTGCATGGCTTTCTGGCAGTCAAACACAGAGGTGAACTCCACAAAGATCTTTCCGCAGCCAGGCACCTCGACACCATCCACAGGCCGGGGGATCTCGATAGACTTGACGAGCCCATACTTGCTGCACTCATCTCGCACATCTTCCACAATCTCCTCATACTCTTCATCATCCAGCAGCTCCTCGGGCAGCACCATATTCATGAGGCACAGGACCTCGGTGGGGTGGCCACCCATCTGTACCTGGGAGCTCATCAGGCCCGGCACTTGTAGGGTCACAGGCGTCTGATTGATGGTGCTCAGCGTGGCATTCTTGGCTCCCACACTTGCCCTCTGGACAAGCAGCTTCTTATCCCCCAGCTGCATCCCATTCAGCCCTGCGATGGCCTGATCTGTGACATTGATGTCCACGTACTCACAGAAGGAGTAGCCCTTGGAGAGCCCGGTGGCACTGTCCTTGACCAGGTTGAAGGCCTTAAGAGGCCCAAACGATGTCAGCAGTTCTTTCACCTGGTCATCATTCAGATAATTGGGTAAGCCCCCAATGAACAGCTTGTGGGCAGAGTCAGGGACCACAGTGGACACAACTCCAGGAACATAGACAGAGGGATTCTCTGACATGCCAGGCAGCGGCTGGTAGTCATGAGGCCGGCGGATCTTCAGTGACTGGCCTTGGAAGATGATGCCATCGAAGGCCATGGCCTGGGTAGTCTCATCCACTGAACGGAACTCCAAAAAGGCAAAATTCTTGTCTTGGTTAATCTGCACAGCCAAGACAGGGTTGCCAAGGGCTTGGGTCAGCCCCCCCAGGCGCATCTGGGTGTTGAAGAACTCCATCATGGTCTCCTCAGTGATGCCAAAGGGGATATTGCCCACATACAGGCGACGGGCCTGTCTGGTCATCTGGCTCCCCACCACAGGCACGGGCGTCGGGGTCACAGCAAGCCCATCAGGGGTCATGGTGGGGAGAAGGGCAGTGGCTGGAATCTGACCTGCAGCTTGCATGGCCTTGTACTGCATTGGAGTGATGTGCTCAAAGCCAGGGGGGGGCACGTCCCAGTATTTACGGACCTTTTTCTTCTTCTCATGGCGGGGGGAACGAATCAACCCACCGTGCTCCTCTTTAGCGCCTCTGGTCAAAGGTTTGCTTCGCCGCCGCCTGTCCCGGGAGGCGCTCCGCTGGTCCCGGTTGCGCCGGTGCCGGCTCCGGCTCCGACGCTTGCGGTCCCGGCTTCGAGGGCGGCTGTGGCTGCGCTTCCTGTGGCGGTTCTCTTTGTCCCGCTCTTGTTTATTCTCATTAAGCTGCCGCTCGAACTCTTCGAAGTCCGACATGCTGAGGAGGCCGTGTAGGGCCTTGCGCAGCTCTAGCCTTGCCTTGCCACCCGCCCGCTCTGGCCGCTTCAACTACTTCCGCCACTGGCTACGGTTACCTCAGGCCGCCGCCGGCGCTTCACCGCCTCCTACCTAGTGAGGCTCCCGGCAGCCCGCCTAGCCCCGCCCCGGCTCCACCCCCTCTCCACTTCCGCGCTCCCCGCGCGCTACCGCTGCCCCCGCCCCTGAGCCTGCCTCCGAAGCGCGTCGGCTATTTCCGGACAGCGGATGTAGGGGTCGGCAGGCGGTGGCTTCTACTTCCGAAAACACCCGAAGCCGGGGTTTAGCCGGCTTCCTAGGTCTCCGTAACCTTTCGGAGGTCAGCGCCTTAACTTTCGGAAGTTTCTGCGGGTCCTCGTGTCCGTCTGTGTCCAGCCCCCACTAAGGGTTCAGAGCCTTCCGACAATTCAAACTGTCCCAGTCTTTGGCTATTTCCGCAGGCTCGCCCGGCCTTCTCCACAGGCACAGTCACAGCAATTCGCCACTTCCAACAAGCCTAACCGTCCCGGACTTCGGCCCTTTCCGAAGGTTTCCGGCGCTCGTTCTCGGCCCCTCCAGAGATTAAGCTCGATTCCAAGGTTCGGCTCTTTCCGGAGATTCCACTCCCGTCGGAAAACTTCGGTGCCTTCTGCCACTCTTCGTAAAGGCCTCACTCACGGGGTGCAGCTTCGGCTTTTTCCGTCGACACTTCGGCTTCTTCCAGTTCACGGAGGACCTGAGAAGGTTGCGCGAGACAAAAGCAGCCAGCTGGGGGAAGGGTGTGCGCGGCCGCCGTGGTGTAGTCCCAGCTACTGGAAAAGCTGACGCGAGAGGATTGCTTGAGCTCAGGAGTTTGAGGTTGCTATGACCTACGACATAATGGCACTTTACCCAGGGCAACAGAATGAGACTCTTTATAAATAAATAAATAAATACATTTTTATCTTTTTTTTTTTTTTTTCAGTTTTTGGCCAGGGCCGGGTTTGAACCCACCACCTCTGGTATATGGGCCCAGCGTCCTACTCCTTGAGCCACAGGTGCCACCCATAAATAAATTTTTTACTTATTTTCAAATTATAATGGGACATAACTTCATTGTAAGTAGAGGAGCATCTGTACTCTAACTTAGCATGTGCCAAATTATGGTCCATAAGACAAATACAGCCCGCTGCCTGTTTTGTAAATAAAGATTTATCAGAACACAGCCATGCTCAATTGTTTACATACTGTCTTTGGCTGCTTTCATGCTGTAACAAAATCGAGTATCAGCAACAGAGACCATATGGTCGGCAATGCCTAAAATATTTACTATCTTGTCTTTTATTTAAAAAGTTTGCTGACTCAGGTTCTAAATCAGTGGTCATTATTTAATGCTCTGGCCCTGTCCCTAATAGGTAAAATACATAGGTGTAAGAACCAAGAGATGGAAGTAAGAGTAATCCCCTCACGATCACTCCTAACAACCCACAGAGGGGACATGTCCTTCCTGTCTCCAAAACTTTAGGCTGTGTGCATCTAGAGGCCTTGGTTCTCAAAGGGCCATCACTTCCACAAAAGGATGCAGTAAGATTCCTACTCCGCTTAAAGCTGCATCTACTGCCTCGTTGCTTTAGGCTGTTTCTGCCAGTAGACCAGCTGGTACACAAAAAGAGCTACGATTTTGGCAATGGTGATTGACTTTTGATCATCATGAAGAGGAAGGGTTGCTACTACATAATGTGGGCAGAGAAAAGCATGTCTGGCATTGAGGTGACCTACTAGGGTATTTTTGGTACTCTAATGTACGGTTTAAACTATGAAAGTACAAGTACAGACCAGATAAGGTAATGGAAACTGAAGCTCAGACCCACAAGGATGAGGGTGTATGTCAACCCCAAAGGCAAGCTGTCTAGACCATCAGAAGAGCTAACCAAGTGAGGAAATCTACAGTGGGCTATGGAGGAAGAAAATGAGAATATAAATTGCAGTCTCGGGACCAACTGAAGCACTCAAGGCTGTGATTTATTTAAATCTCCTCCTATAATTTTCCCAAAGGAATTCTAACCAACCAGAATCCTGGAAAATCTATGCCCAAATAAAATTAACTTAATATAGAGCAGCAAGTGGATCTGATTGGTGCAAGGGATGAACTAGAATAGACACTGTTGGTGCCTCACATTGATCCACTTCATTAACTGGTACATCCATTCCCCAGCTAACGGTTTGCACCTTCAAACTTCTCCAAATAACTACTTTTGCCTAAGGGGAGTCACATCTTCTGAAGGCAACTGGGAACTTCAAACACCTCTCACCCTTACCCCACAGCACCGGCAATGACCAATGACAGACTGATAGGCCTAACCCCCCTTGCCTCCTGATGGAAGAACTCCTCAAGCTTCCCATGCCACATGAAACAACTCCTGACACATGGAAGAGGCCACAGCCACACCATTCCTTCTCCCCTGTCTTGCTACCTTCATTTGTTTCTAGGTTTTTCATCAATAAATCACATGCATCCAAATCCCTGTCTAAGGCTCTGCTTCTAGGCATTTCCTGAAAAGGCAGAGCCTTTTTCAGTAAACGTATTCAATGGCTGAGAGAAGATCTGAGAATATGCTCTGTGCAGGCAGGAAGGTCCCTGAAGAAAGGGGCTGAGTCACATTTACCAAATTCCTAGTCCCAAATAGAAATTTAGCATGCCACTTCTCCTCCCATAGGGAGTAGTAAGGGACATGGAGAAGCCTGGAGTGTTACTGGAATAGACTAGGGGAATTAGGAATAAGTAGTCCTCCTTGCCTTGGGCTGGTTCCCCAGGAGCAGATACTGAGATGAGGATTCATGTACCTGCAATAACTTTTTTTTTTTTTTTTTGAGACAGAGCTTCAAGCTGTCGCCCTGGGTAGAGTGCTTATGGCATCACAGCTCACAGCAACCTCCAACTCCTGGGCTTAAGCGATTCTTTTGCCTCAGCCTCCCAAGTAGCTGGGACTACAGGCGCCCACCACAGCACCCGGCTATTTTTTGGTTGTAGTTGTCATTGTTGCTTGGCAGGCCCCAGGCTGGATTTGAACCCACCAGCCCTAGTGTATGTGGCTGTCGCCCTAGCTTGAGCTACAGGCGCCGGACCTGCAATAACTTAAGGTAGGGCTCCCAGGGGAAATCAGTAGGAAACAGGACAGGAAAGGGGAAGAGGCTAAGCAAGTGTGTCATTTCAGGCAGCTTTCATACTTTCACCTCAGTCTGTTACTGGGTAAAGATGGTCCAGAATTTTCAAGTGAGAAAGAGTGGGGTTGTATAAGGATGAATGTAAGCTTGCAGTCTTTGTCAGCTCTCTGCATGTTCAAGCAAAGCAGCTCCATTAATCCAAAAACAGGCTTTCAAGAGTCAGAGAGACAGGAGCAGTGCCTGTGGCTCAAAGGAGTAGGGCGCCGGCCCCATATGCCAGAGGTGGCAGGTTCAAACCCAGCCCTGGCCAAAACCTGCAAAAAAAAAAAAAAAGTCCAGAGAGACAAAGGTGCAAGCCCTTAGAAACAAATATATAGTAAAGCCAAGGAGGAGGGCTCAGAAATTGTTTTTGTTTTTGTTTTTGTTTTTCTGAGACAGGAGCCTCAAGCTGTCCCCCTGGGTAGAGTGCCATGGCATCACAGCTCACAGCAACCTCCAACTCCTGGGCTCAAGCCAGTCTCCTGCCTCAGCCTCCCGAGTAGCTGGGACCACAGGCACCCGCCACAACATGGTTGTTTTGATGGGCCATGGGCTGGATACGAACCTGCCACCTTGGTTGTACGTGGCTGGTGCCTTAGCCACTTGAGCCACAGGCGCAGAGCCAGAAGTTGTTTTTTTGTTTGTCTTTTTTTGTTGTTGTTTTTGAGACAGAGTCTCACTATATCACCCTCAGTAGAGTGCTATGGCATCACAGCTCACAGCAACTTCAAACTCTTGGGCTTACGTGATTCTTTTGCCTCAGCTTCCCAAGTAGCTGGGACTACAGGCACCCACCACAATGCCCAGGTACTTTTGTTGTTGTTGTTGTTGTTGTTGTTGCAGTTGTCATTGTTGTTTTAGCTGGCCCAGACCAGGTTCAAACCCACCAGCCTGGGTGTATGTGGCTGGCACCATACCACTGTGCTACTGGGCCCTGAGCCAGAAACTGTTAAAAGTATCTGGAGGGGATCTGAGCAGAATAACAACAGTAACCACGACACACCCTAACATTCACTAGTAAAACAACTCTATTTATGCATGTTTTACATATCATATAATTCTGTCATTTCAAATGTATAATTCACTGATTTTTAGTTCATTTACCAAGTTATATAACTATCACCTTAAATCCATTTTAGAATATTTTCATAACCCCAATAAGATCCCATTTTTTTTTTCAATTTGTTCCGGAATATTAGGGGGTTACACATGTTTTGTTTACATACTTTGTTTTCGTATAGATTGAGTCAAAGTTATAAATGTGCCCTTCACTCAGATGGTGTGCATTGAACCCAATAGATGTGAATTTACCTATTCCCTCCCCCCAGCTTGATTTTCATTGAGATTTACCCCCATATGTGGATTAATTAGTTCCCATTTGGTACTGAGTACACTTGTTGGTTTCTCAATTCTTGTGATTGTTTTACTTAGAAGAATGGTTTCCAGGTCCCTCCAGGTTGTGTCAAAAAAGATACTTGATCTCCATTTTTTATGGCTGAGTAGTACTCCATGGTATGTATATACCATAATTAACTAATCCATTTATGTATTGGTGAGCACTTAGATTGTTTCCATGTCTTTGCAATTGTGAATTGTGCTTTAATAGATATTCGAGTGCAGGAATTCTTTTTATAAAATGATTCTTTTTCCTTTGGGCATATAGCCAGCATTGGAATTGCTGAATTCAATGGTAGGTCTACCTTAAGTTCTGTAAGTTCCATACAAGTTTCTTTTTTTTTTTT